ATAGAAGGTTTTGCTTCTTAATCTTGTTTCCAAGTATTTTCAATACAGTTGGGTGGACTGATCAACTTGGAGCACTTAGATTTGTCTGGTTCATCCATCAATGGGAGATTTCTTTATGAGTTGATTTGCGAAAGCCTTACCCATTCATCATTGATATTATGGAATGCCTTCCCCCTCCTGTGGATAGTTGCTTTGTTGTGGTTCCTTGAATTGTTAAGTTGGAAACTTTAGTTTGTTCACAAGTCATTAGACAATTTTATTTATTTGCGAATTAGAATTCTAGCTAAGCATCCTTTATTACATTTACAAGATTGTGTGACCTTACAACCTTGAAGAGCTATACTTTGCTGGTAATGATATGGAGGGTATATTTCCTTCCTGGGAAACTTGACCTTGCTCTGAATCTTGGATCTCTCCTCAATTATGCCACCTAAAACGAATAAGCCTGATCGATATCTCTCAGAATAGTCTTTCAGGTTCTATTCCTCGTTGCCTAACTAACTTGACTTTTGAGTCAAACTATGCCAAATCTGTTACAGGTTCGAAATATGATTTATTCCCCCCAGGAATAAGTCAATTCTCATTGTATTCATCTTATTTTGAATCAATAAGATTGCCGAATGTCAAAGAAAAGGTCGAGTTCCCTACAAAGGGCTGGTCCTATTCCTATGACGGCAACATCCTCATTTTTATGTCAGGAATTGATTTCTCCTGCAACCAATTAACAGGTAAAATACCATCCAAAATGGGGAACTTAAGTGAGCTCCATTCATTGAATGTGTCTCATAATAATCTCACTGGATCAATACCAACAACATTCTCCAACTTAAGGCATATTGGGAGCTTAGATCTTTCCTATACCAACCTGAATGGGAGTATCCCCTCTGAACTGACTGAGTTGAACACTTTAGTGGTCTGCAGTGTAGCACACAACAACTTAACAGGTAAAACTCCAGATTTCAAAGCTCAATTTGCTACCTTCAATGAGATTAGCTACGAGGGAAATCCTCATCTGTGGACCTCCATCACATAGAAATTGTACTAACGCTGGAGCACCATCATCAATGCAAAAGGTTTCAGAGGATGAACAAAATAATGTTGGGTTCGTGTAAGCTTTTGTGTGTCGTATATTGTAGTGTTGTCACAATTGTAGCAGTTCTTTATGTGAACCCTTATTGGCGAAGGGCGTGGTTCAATTTCATTGAAATGTGTATAGTCTCTAGCTACTACATTGTCATTGACAGTTTCTGTAAGTTCAGCTGCAGGATTATGTAATTCTTTATCTAGATAGATGTGTCAATGTAACATTGTTTTTGATATGATATTCAAGTAATAAATCTACTCGTTAGTTGCACAAGCCATGTTGACATCATTTTTTCTCATGAAAATTCGCTCTTCTCTAATGACAATATTCAAAAAAAAAAAAAAAAAAAAAAAGACCCCTCTAGAGGGCACTATTAAATTTTTTTAGCATTATGCAATTAGTTTTTGTGGCTGTATCCTTGGGTTATGTATCACTGTCTAGAACTTTTCTTTTATACCATTCTGCCATCGTAGTTGTAAGGGCAGAAGATGGAGCTGGAAAAGAGTTCACCGTGTGCTTATAATAAGCCAGTTGATTATTTAAACAAATATTTAGCTGCACAAATAGACTTAACTTACTGACCTAATGCTATGTTACTGGAAATGAAAGCTTTTCCAATAGTCCTGTTTCCAATATCAGTTTGCAAAATGCATTTTCTATAGTCCTGTTTTTCTTTGCTAGTCAATACCATAGCTTGCCAATGTAACTCAATTCAGTTGTGTAGTTTGGTGATCGTCAATGACAACTTAGGAAGTTATTTTTCTTCGTTATTTTCCCATAATGTTGGTGATGATTTGCATATTATAGGATTGAGATGCTGTTGAAACTAATGTGATTTCAGTCCCGCCAAGCATCCAATGGATTCAGTTTGAAAAGAATTTAGCTCTCGTGCTATGGAAGCATTGGAACCACAGTTGTATTATCAAGATGTAATAATGATGATGCAATATGATCTAAACCATATATGGGCTCAATTGACCCCAAGTATGTGAATTAACTCCGTTGTAAGTAGTAGTAATGCAGATCGATCTAAACTATATATGGGGTAAATTAACTCCAGGTCGATACACGAAGTTAGCTATGTCGTGCTACAAAAGTAGTATATTGACTGTTGTTTTATATAGTTGAATGGAGTAATAATTAGTAATGACACAGATTGATCTAAACTATCAGTGGGGGTTTAACCCCACATACATGAATTTAACTCCGTCGTATTCCGAAAATAGTGGACTAACTGCTGCATTAAGTCAAATTGGATAGCAATTATTTTTAATGTAGATTGATCTAAACCATGAACAGGATCAATTGACCCCACATACATACAAGAATTTAGCTCCACTCTGCCGTGGAAATAGTGGATTGATTGTTGCATTCTTGAATCAAATGGAATAGTAATGGGTTGTGGCAATGGCTCCACATACAACAATTTAGGCCTGCCGTGCTAGACAGGCAATGGATGGATTGACTTGATCATTTACCAAGTCACGTGGAATAGCCTTGACATTGATTGCTTCTAAATTCTGGTCCATGAGAAGGTTTGGCCTGTAAACTATCTGAACAAAACCATTCACTTCACAAACTAGCAAATACATGAAAATGGGAACATTTGGCCTGTTCGGAGTTTGGGGTGTCCGTGGGTTGGGTTTGTCCAAGAGACCCGTTATTCAGCTCAAAATATAGACCCAAATCTTGATAGTTGATCGGACTAAGCCCGGGCTCAATATCTTTTAAGAGAGGGTTTGGGTCTGCCCTCAAGTCCATTATCCAACTCAAAATTCGGCCCATTAACTCACCCGTGTAGAAAAACTGGCATTAGAAATCGACTGTCAAGCCCGGACCACCTACTTTGTTTGAAAAAAAAAAATTGATCATCGAAAGCTAGGTGACATATTTCACTAAAAAAAAAAGAAGTTATTTACTTAAATAGTAAGTTGAGTAATCTAGGGTATTATTCATTATTCATTATTTACTTAAATACTAAACAATTCATTTCAAATAAAATTATTCATTATTTATTTTTTATCCATTTGATTCTACTTTTAATTCAAAAAAATAATTTACAAACTAAGTTGGAAACTTGAGGGCTTTGGAGTAAAATAAGTCCGTTTGGACCTTGGCTTTTTCACTAGCTTATGCAGCAGCGTTTTGTATCCAAAAAAGCTTATTTAGGTTGATTCAAGAAGCTAATTTTATAAGTGTTTCTTTTGGTTGTTTAGAGTTTTGTTGTGGGTTACACATAACTTTTTAGTTTATTATATCCATAAAATACTATTAGTGACGTAAAAAAATTTAATATTCATATTTTGTGAACTATTATGTATAATCTATACATACATGTGACTATTTTTTTTTTTTTGGTAATTTTGACACAAAAAGTTAGAAAGTCATTTTAAATGAATTTTTTTTCAACTATTTAAAGAATACTCTAAACGATTTTAGAAAACCTTTTCAAATCGCAGCTTTTTACCTAAAAAAGTCAGTCCAAACAGGCTTATCGTACCATTCTCCAATGCATTTAGATCACTAACTTGCAGCTCCAACTACCAGTTATTAGTGCAAAGCAAAATTTGATTCCAACCCTCCCATGCCCATTTCAATCCCTTGAAGCACTCCATGGATTCAGTTTGCAGTCGGAAGAAAATAATTTAGTTCCGTCGTACTATGGAAACAGTGAACTGAAACCTGAATTATTGAATTGGATAGATTAGTAATGTGCAATGATGAAGACTAATCTAAACCATCAACTGCCCTGTAGGTGAATCTGGGCACCATATATGGAAACATTTGATAAATTGTTGTATTATTAAGTTGACTAGAATAACAATTAGTTATAATGCAAACTCATCTAAACCATCAATAGATTCAATTAACATCACATACATGAATTTAGCACCACCGTGCTATGAAAGCAGTGATTAATTGTTGCATTATTGAATCGAATAGAATAACAATCCATAATGGTGCAGAGTCATCTAAACCATTCGTAGGACCAAGTGACTCTATCTACATGAATTTAGCCATGCCGTGACATGGAATTCGTGGACTGACTTTTACATTATTTAATTGAATAGAATAATAGTAAGTTAGGATAGAAACTCATCTAAACCATCAGTTGGTCCCACACACAAGAATTTAGCTATGCCATCCTATGGAAGCAATGCATTGATCGTTGACTAGTAGTGATGTAGCTGGTCTTCCCAATGGCTCCACATTAAGGAATTTAGGCCTGCCGTGTTCTAGGAAGGGGACTTGTGAATTACCAAGTCAAGTGGAATAGTCATGATAATGATGGTTTCTAAATTCTAGTGGATGAGAAGGATTTGCCTGTCAACAAAAGTAGAATGATATGTAATTACCGCTATAGATTAGTAGAAAAGTTTTCTTGATTGAATCAAAGGGTTTGCAATCGTGAGTTACGTGTGATTAACAATGTTATCGGATATACATATAATTAAAATTCTATATATTTATCAAAGAAAAAGTTTCACATTCTAATCGACAATTAACAGGATCCCTTTGAATATATTGAGCACAACTTAAATTCATGATAAGTGTTTTAACATAGAGCCAATTTAATGATCTATGATTCCATTGTTTGCATGTAAACCAACAGTGTAATTGGTAATATCTTTTTTTGTTAATGCTCGGTCGACCACGAAAAATGCCATGTGAGCCTCAAATGGAAAATATCACATGAAATCCATCTTTCATTGTACTATTCAAATTGTAACTGAAAATTTCATGCATATAATTGACAAAGCTTGTAGTTGAAAGACGCAAGTAACATTGTGTCCCGAACCAAAAATATATTTGATAATTTTCTCAAAGTCAGATTGCCAATATTGGTCGATGTCCCACTTGCAATATAGTTTGGCTCCATTTTTCACTATGCAAATATTATAATTTGGTAATATATTTTTCTTTCTTTCATTATGAAACACTAAATTTACTTCAAAATTATCGACCATCTATTCTCAAAATTGTTTGTAAAGTACATATTCTTAGGATATTGATCCAACAATAATATTAGAGGAATTATACTCTTCTGAACTTGGATCCCCAACTTCTACATATCAGTGTATAGAATAGAAGTGATGCCTATGAAATCGATTTCAAGAGTTATGGAGGTAACATAAGAAACTCCAAATAGTTGATCAGGGCCATGGAGTCAATGTGTAATTTACACATAATAATGATACAAGAAATTAAGTCTGTCGTGGTGGGTGGGTGGGCAGTTGACTGACTTGTGGTGTTTGTGGTGTTTTGTGGTGTTTGGTGTTTTGGTTGTTGGAGGAAGAGAGGGTTGCTCTCTTGCAACTCAAAGCTTAGATAAACTACCCCAATGGAACTTCTTTGCCATCTTGGGAGGACACATTAGAAGGTAATAATAGTAAGGAGAGTGACTGTTGCTATTGTTGGTGTGGATCTCTACAATATGACAAAATTGATTATTGAGATTTTGGAATGATATTAAACTTAGAATTATTCTAAACAGAAACATTTAAATCTGTTTATGCAATTAAGAGCAAAACAGTAACATTCAAGAAAAATTAGTAAGATTTAAAACTGCAATAAATAACTTATCAATTTATATATCAGGAACGGAAATTGAATTTTATAGATCAAAGCTAGTATTTGATACTATATCTTTAAGACAAATTTTGTGTCATACTATTGTTTAAGAAAATCATAACGTTTGTCTTCCAAAATACAATAATCTTAATGCAAATTGAAAGTAACATTTCAATTCAATTGTCCAATTGATAAGAATTGTGTTGTGTACTTTAAAAAAAATAAAGACTCCTAATGCAAAGATTTATGAATGTAATGATTGCCTTAATTTATAATATGGTAAAGAAGTTAGTGCAAAATGCTAATGAATTTTAGTTATTTATAGACAAAATAATGACTATTTTGGACAGCCACCATAGCGGATTCAACCCACAAAA